AAATTCACCAACAACTCAACGGGGCTTTGATAGAAGCTGGAGGTTAGAGAACATGGAGCTGATCGATCCTCATCTTCAAAATAGCTGATTGGCAGCTCATTTGTCCCTTCATATTATAAAAAGTCATAATGCACATTATTTCAACAAAAGGATAAACAGCATCCAATATACAGTACAGATATATTACTCAGAAATGCCTTCATTTAGTTTGTATGGTGGCACCATAAGTATTATAGAACCGTTTTTTTAAGAAAAAAAAAGTTTTAAACAACATACAAATATTTTTTTGTTATTATAATAAATTGTAATAAATTGGTTTACATGTTGATTTGGCATTCTTTGTATTGGTGATGTTAAATGCTTGACAAAAAATGTAAACATTACAGTACAAATAAATATATAGGCCTACTTGTATTTCCTGAAGCTGTTACATGTTGGCGATCTGCTCTGGGGTCCTGTTCTGTTACCATGGATACAGTCACCTGGAAACAAAGCACTGAAGAAAAACAATATTTTGGTGTTAGATATTTATATATTTCTGTGTAGGTTAGTTGTGTTTTTATTACCCACAGACTCAGGCCCGGTTCTACGGGGGTGCAAAAGGGTGCATTGCACCCTCAGTTGAGTCGTTATGCACCCTCATTTGAGCAATTAAAAGTGAAAAAAAAATTCAAAAAATAAAAGTGAAAAGAAATAAAATAATTAAAAGTGAAAAATATTACATATATAATAACAATAATAATAATAGCAGTAATAATAATAATAATAATAAGGAGAAGAATATAGTTGAAATAAAATGTTTGTAATTGTGGTTAAATAACATTGTCTGCTGCATTTATTTGGTCAATTTAAACGGTAAGTAACGTTATTATGTCAGGTGCGCGTGACCTGTGCCCCTGTGCGTTCGTCATTTGCAAGGTGCTTACACAGCAGTCAATGATGGACATCAGAAAATGGTTAAAACAACCAGCCCTTATCGCCAGCAGTAACACTGCATCTACTGCAGGTAATAACAGTTCAGATCATGGGGACATTACGTTACCCGCGGCCACTGTCGTGGACACTAACGCCCGACTCGCCGGCTTTGCCCGCCTCGCCCACGGAGGCGGAGCAGCCGCAGCCGTCTTCGTTGCCCCAAACACCGCCACCCCTCGGCGGCCCACAAGTGCCAGAGGACCTCGGCAAAACAGAGCCTGCCCAGGTATATTAAAAAAAGTACCCAACTCGCCTGTACAGTGGGGTAAGGCGCTCATTTTGCAGCTCATGGTTTCAAAACAGAGATTGACTGGAATATTCCTGTAAAAAAGATGCCATCTTCTGCTATGCATGTAGACATTTCGGTCTTAAAAGGGGAGTGATTTGTAAAATATCCATAAAGAAAAAGTAAATCTGTTTACAGTTCTGTTTCATATGGATGTTGAGATGTATCCATAGATCTCTTCATTTTGCTCTCAAAGTGCACCAGATTGATGCTTTTAACTTCAATATTTAAAAAAAAAATCTTCCCGGGGAGCATGCCCCCGGACCCCAGAGGAGGTGAGGACCCCCCTAGAGGGTGTTAGGTCCACTCCCCACTTATAAAAATAGCACTTTACCACTGCACCCTCTCTAATCTCAGATGCACCCTGAGTCATTTTGTTCTGGAACCGGGCCTGCACAGACTACATCAGAGGAACATACTGTATCACTGGAACCAGGCGCGCCGGATTCATTTTAAAAGTGGGGGGGCCAAAAAAGTGCGTGTGTATGGCAGGCGCGCCGGATTCATTTTAAAAGTGGGGGGGGCAAAAAAGTGCGTGTGTATAGCCCAATCCCAAACCACGCCCTACACCCTACCCCTACACACTCCCCCTCCGTGACGGAGTGAACTCCGTGGAGTGACACATGAGGCTCCCTCCTGTCAGATGGAGCGGCAAGCTTTGGGACAAACTCCCCTCTCTCCGGCAGAAACAGGAAATGCCGTAACTGTATGTAACAACGGTTTCAAATCAGCATCTCTTTGACAAAAAATGTAAATTAATAACTAAAATAAAACTCCAAACATCTCTAATTGTGTTACTTTTTTGTAAAGCTCTTTTAGTTTTAAACCTGATGTTTATAAGTTTCTTAGTTTTTGCAACAGTCTGTAAATATACACAACTTTATAATAAAATGCACACATTTACCTTTTTCTAGACTAAACACAGGTAGATCCTCAGTTAAAACATATGAGGTTATCATGAGGTTGTTAACATCGCAGTTTATCAGTGGATGTTTGCTGGAAGCACAATAACTGCATGTTTTGCATTGCTTTTAAATTTCAGTTAATATAGTGGTGAGAGACTCCCGATACATTAGATTTATAAGTTCATTAATTGTCTCATGATGCATATTTCCCGGTGAGCATGAAGCTTTTCAGAGTGGGGTTTTTCTCAGCTACGAGTTCTTTTGGAAATTGCTCTCCTTATCCGCATGCCCCCTGATTGCTAGGCCCTGTTGGGTTAGAAACTGCAGACAGCGCAGTTGCTCCATCATTCCATCTCTTCTTTTTTCCTGCTCAATACGCTGTTGTTTGACAAGCTGTATGTTGACTGGTGTTTGACTGAAGAAAGCGCACTTTTTTTTAATACACTCTCTGTGGAAATTAGACTTTTCGTGGCTGTCCAGGAGGCTTGGGCACTTTTTCCAGTTATTAACTCCGATATTAACAAAGCTATCATCTCCACATTTTGAGAAAGTTACAAGCCGTTTGACAGCAGCAAATCTGCATATTTCACAGAAGGCCCGTTTAGTGGTTTTGCAAAGAATTAACCACTCTCTGTTTTTGTACCATTCTGCGTTGAAGTAGCCTACCTTTCTCTTACCCAAATAATCTAGCGGTCAGTTAGCTGCAGCTTTACCCGTCTCAATGTCCCGACAACAAACCTCCATGCAGTCAGAACCAGCCTGTTTCGGTTCAACGACGGCGGTGGCGGCGGTTTTGACAGTCTCTGCGGCCGCAGAGCTGTTGCTTTTGGGTTCATCTGGCTTCGCTGTTTCTATGATTGATGAAGGTCCAGGCTCCGGAGACGTGGATGTCAGGGATGTGACCTTCCAGTTGTTAATTTAAGTTTATATTGACTGTATAGTTTTCTTCTGCGCTGGTTCTTCTGACGTGTTTGCAAGTGTATCTTTTTTCTATCTAGGTTAACGGCTGACACACACAGAACAACGTAACAAATAAAGTAAACAACGTAACGAATAAACAAATCTAAGCTTTTTTATTGGTTGTAATTTACATGGATACATTTGAATGGTGTGACAATGTCCTATTTGATTGGGTTAAAATGTACATATTCTTCCTGTTATGTCTGCCTGCTTTATTTTACCTAATGCAAAGTGACCTGCTCCATCGAAATCAGTCGCATTGACCCGAAGACACATTTTGAGTTGTATACACTGTTGGAAAGAGGAGATTCATAACTTTCTAATGATATCAGGATTGTTGTTGTAGGCTACTCCAAATATTAAGCAAAATATGTCACATTATATAATGACTGTTACAGAGTCATCATTTTGAGAAAAAGGCCTTTAAAGTTTCCTCTTCTCTGGATCGATCTGATTGATTATTAGCGGAGCAAATGATCAAAATAGTACGAAGGGAAGATAGGGGAAGCCCGCGAGTGTGTGTATACGTGTGTGTTTGTGTATTTTTGCGTTTGAGTGTATTGTGTTTGTTTCCCGGGGAAAACACTCACGAGAAACACCGGCTGTTCTTATGCCTGCAGTGACGTAAAGTTACTCCGTTGCTTTTAATTATGCCGTTACAAGCTTCAAAGTTGTATTTATCATCTGAATTTGCCAAAACAAGTTTAATATTCTGAAAGCCAAGACTTTGTTTAGTTGAAATCAGATAAAAACAAACTGTAACGGACCCTGCCGTGTTATCTATGATTACTATACGCCTTACATTCATAATTTCAGCAGAGAGAGGGGAAGCGGCGCTGTGGAAGAGCAGAGTGGCGAGTGAAAGCTTTACAAGCTTAAAAAATGCCTGTAGCTAATGAGATTGAATATAACAATCAAACATAACAAAATATACACAGCTATATCAGATCGCGTTTTAGATGCGACTTTAGAGTAGAGGGGAATTATTGAAACGGGATTTGTACAGTGTTCCACGGCATCCGCCGCTGCGAAAATGTGGGGCAGGGCTGAAAAGTGGGGGGGCCCCCTGGCCCCCCCGCTTCCGGCGCCCTTGACTGGAACAGGTGAGTAACACTTATTCCCCCAGCAGTGTGTTTAAAATAATACCTGTTTCAGATGCAGAAAAGAAGGGGGCTTTTTAAGCTAACCATTCATTAAGGCAAATATGTCTGTGTGTGTGCGTGTGCGTGTATGTGTATGTGTATGTGTATGTGTATGTGTATGTGTATGTGTATGTGTATGTGTGTGTGTGTGTGTGTGTGTGTGTGTGTACTTTTAAGTTATGTTTTACTTGTAAAGGTAGTCAATCACAATGAAATGTCTATTTATGTGGCCAAATATAAAAAATTCAGAATTTCAGGGGGCATAGGACACCCCTCTGTTTTAAGATGGTCCGGCACTGCAGAGAGCTGCGTCCCATGCCGCTGGAAGCCTCCCTAATGCAGGAACCGGATAACCGGGATGAACGGAGGCTGGCAGCAGGTGAAAGGAGCCTGCACACTTCAGGATATTGCGACAAAATCCGCTGGACCGTACCATCCTCACTCTCACTGATCCTGGGACAGCTGATGGATATTATGTGGATGTGGTGCGCGCAACATGGATTTATCCACAGGGAGCGCAGAGGATAGACATCACACCGCCTCTCCACTGAATGAATTCTCCAAGAAAGGATCAGGGAGGCAGGGCAAAGCAGAGGGGGGGGGGTGGAGAGCTCCAGGCGCCATCATCGCATCTCTGGGTGGAGGCTCCGTCCTCCCGATAGTCCGGCCTGCTGGGGACCGACAGGCCCCCCCCCCCGGTGTGAGGCTGAGGGATAGCCTATATAAAGCCCCGTGTGTCAGCAGCCTTATCACTCTCTGTGACCCGCAGGCTGACGCGGATTAATCGGTGTGTGTGTGTGTGTGTTATCGGCAGCAGCAGCCATGTCTCACGGATGGGGATACGGAGCGAATAACGGTGAGCTCAGTATGATGGGATGTTCAGGAGTAACAGGTGGACACGTGCTACCCTACACTCTGTGTGCAGTCAGTGCAGACCACTCCTCATTAACAATTACATTACTTAAATTATTACAAAGTGGTGTACAAAGTGTTCAGATAATTTAGGTAAAAGTAAAAATACTATACTGGAAAAAGACTCCATACAAGTAAAAGTACTGCATTGAGAATACTACTTCAGTAAAAGTATTAAGGTATGAATAGGGAAATGTAGTTAACGTTTTAGGATGAAAAGTGCTCAAATTACATTTACAAATACAATTCTCAACTATTAAAATATTTCCAAAATAAAAGCAGCAAATCTTCACTTTTGAGAAACTGAAACGTTGTGAAATGTTTCTTAAATAAAAACTATTTGCAATATGACTGCTAATACATTTTTCGTCAACCCACTCATTGGTAATGTTTTGAATCAATATTGAAGCATAATTTCCTAAGATCTTTCTAAGTGTTGTGTGTAAAACTCTGAACTTATAAAGTACGTAGTAACTAAAAACGGAAGAAAAAGAAACTAACTAAGTAAAAAGTTAAGTGTTTCCCTTTGAAGTGTAGTGAAGTAGAAACATGAAGTTGCACAAAAACAAAATACTCAAGTAAAGTACCTCAAATTTGTACTTAAGTACAGTACTTGAGTAAATATACTTATTTACTCTCCACCACTTTTATTACATAAGCCTACTTCAGTAATCAGGACAGGGTTGTTAGTTAACTTTAATATTTTATGTACTTACTGGAAGAAAAAAAAGCCAATATTTTATATTTTATGATTTTTGTTATTATTATTAAAACCTACATTCATAACTGCCCAGCAGATTCTGAAAAGTTATGAATATTCATAACTTTTCAGAATCTGCTGGGCAGTTATGAATGTAGGTTTTGCAAAACAAACTTTTGCAAAACTTTTAAAAAGTGGACTTTCCACCTAACAGAATTACCAGCACATTCATTCTTTAACATTAACTTAATTGTTTGTTTATTTGAATGATAACAAAACATATTTAAATGGGGAACTTTTACTTTTATGATATTATTAAATGTTTTATTCAGGTATTGTTTCATTCACCTTATAAGCATCAGATGATAGACAATATACTTGCTACTACGATGTTAAAAGTAAGGTGCATTTATTGTATAATTTAGTGACACAGCAGTGTTTAAATGCTGCTTAAATTGCAATTTAGTAGTAATAAACAGTTAGTAATTAGCCTTCTGCAAGTAAACACTCCTGATGTTTTTACGTTATGAGTAATTTTGCACTGCTGTTATTTTATTGAAATGTTCCTAATATCACACAGCAGCTGAGTTCACTTGAAAATAATATTGAATATGAAACTTTTATTATTTTTAATTAATATCTGAATATGTATTTCTGCACTAAAAAACAAAGACAAGACGCCAACAGAAGAAGTATTTTCTTTGCCACGTATGTACTCACTTTAAAGAAGCTGGAGCAAAAGTGCTCCACACATAACACATTAACATGAGGTATTAAATGTTTAAATATGTATTTGTAGGGCCTGAAAAATGGGGTGAAGATTTCCCCGTGGCTAACGGGCCCAGACAGTCTCCCATCAACATCGTCCCTAAGGAGGCCCAGTACGACTCCACTCTGAAGTCTCTGAAACTCAAGTATGACCCCTCCAACACCAAGGGCATTCTCAACAACGGACACTCCTTCCAGGTGGACTACGAGGACGACGCCAACAGTTCCAGTAAGTTCCACCGCTCAGCTTCCAGTGTTAGGACACTAGGCCACATAAATATAGTTATGTATATGCATCTGGCTGCTACTTAAAAATTATTTATCTATTTACCTAATATATCATATTTCAATGACTTGCATAGACTCTTATTGCACTATTTCACTTTTTTAAACAATTTTTCTTCTTGTATTTACTATTTACTTGCACTATATTTTTCTGTTTTGTGTTGCACTGTTGGAGAAGCCTGTGACACAAGATTTTCATCGAAATAACTACACTGTAGCTATGTTCGTTTGACGAATAATAAACGGAGTATTCCGCGATGAGATAAGAAGGAGAGAGAGAGAGAGAGAGAGAGAAGAGAGAGAAGAGAGAGAGAGAGAGAGAGAGAGAGATAGAGAGAGAGAGAGAGAGAAGAGAGAGAGATCGAAGAGAGAGAGCTAGAGAGATGAGATAGAGATAGATATAGAGAGAGAGATCGAGAGAGATATAGAGAGGAGATAGAGAGGAGAGAGAGCGAGATATATATATATCTGATATACTCTATATTCTCTTCTCTGATCTAGATATTTATCCTCTCTCACGCATCTGTATCATTGCTCGTCTATAGTCTCTATCCGGTCTCCTCTCATCGTCTCTCTCTCCTCTCATGATGATGACGTCATCAATGTGTAATTTTCTCTGACTTTAAAAAGATAAGTGCTGCACATTATAAAGACGAAATTATCTAATTGCAATTAATGATAAATCAGATGATGATTTCTCCATAATTGTTTCCATCAAAGGTCTGTAGAATGTGTAGAACTACAGTATTTAATTCAGACTGACATTTTGCATCTGTAATGACTTTTGTGCTCACCAGTCCTGACTGGAGGTCCTATTTCTGGAACGTACCGTTTGAAGCAGTTTCATTTCCACTGGGGAGCGAGTGATGGCAAAGGCTCCGAACACACCGTCAACGGCATCAAGTTCCCCTGTGAGGTACTGAAGGAGCTGCTGCTTCACTAACCCTGCAGGAACAGGGCCTGAACAGCCTGTGGTCTGTGATGGTGGAACTGTCCTGTCTTTGGCAAGATAATTCAGTAAACATTTAAGAGTAACACTGTTCTTAATGGTTCTGTATGAAAACACACAATGGGCATTACTTCTGTAATTGTTTAAGAAAGAACTGGGGGTGACTGGAGTTTACATTACTCAATACAAAAACATATTGGGTATTAAATTGATGGATTCCAGTGTCTTTAGTTCCAATATATTCAAATTAGGTTATTTTTAGAACCTATAGAGTGCCACAGTGACGCGTCCTAAAACCCGGAAGTAAGCTGCGCATGGGTTCCTTCGACAAAAAAGCAATGCAATTTCTCCATAGGACTTTTATAATTTTCTAATCATAAATCTATCAATCATAAATCTATTGATTAGATTTATGATTCGAAAATTATAAAAGTAGGGTAGACATGTGGAGATTATCCGACTGAACAAAACGTGATCCGTCTCTTAAATGTGTCTCAACCACAGACCTTATTTCGAGCTATTTTCCAAAATCCTATGGAGAAATTGCATTGCGTTTTTGTCGAAGGAACCGGAAGAAGCTTACTTCCGGGTTTTAGGACGCGTCACTGTGGCACTCTATTAAGAAATAAATTAACTAGATGGATCGTTTCCATAAGTGAACAGTAATTCATATATCTGACCTGGGACTCCGTCTGCTTCAAAACGTAACGGGTTCTTTCTTGGCCCATGCCATACTATTCCACCTAGTGTCATACAAATCAGACTGGTGGTTTATCTCTAATAATAAAGAAAATGGTATATTTATATTTGTCAGATACATCTGACATTATCACAGATGCGCTTCAAACTCTGGCTGAAACATTTTGCATTGGTCGTCTTTTTAGAGATCTGTCTTATTATTTGTAAAATATCCACGTTATTGCACATGTTACAGTATATTTTGGATAAGATGACACACTTTCTGTAGCCTGGGTCTTAGAATGTGCCTCTTTCCCTGCTAGCTTCACCTGGTGCACTGGAACACGAAGTACCCCAGCTTTGGAGAGGCAGCCAGCCAGCCTGATGGCCTTGCAGTGGTGGGGGTCTTCCTCAAGGTGAGTCATCAGTGACTCATCCCTGACAAGCTCTCAGTCTGACTGCACTGAAGGCAGGGAGTGGGGGGTAGCTTTAAGTATTCATGCCCTTCACAGGACGGTGTAAGGTTAAGAGACAATCTAAATAAATAAAGCTAAAGTTTACTGTAAATGTAACTGTGTTTGTCTCTGTCCTTCAGATCGGTGCCGCCAACCCCCGGCTTCAGAAGGTTCTGGATGCCTTTGACAGCATTAAGACCAAGGTAAAAATCAGTGGTGGGGGGTAAAAACGCTAGAGAAGCTTAGCCTTCCATAAATTATTGGTCGATTTACTACTGTGCTTACCAATGTTTCCTAAAAGTCATACGTGCTACTGCTACGATACATTCTGATAAGCCACTCCAAATATCAGGTTATATAAGGTTTTTATCGTCAACAAATACATTTAACTGTGCAATACATACTTCCACTTTCACTACGGTTAGCTGGCTGCTATAGCACATTACTTAACATGGAGGCGTGTGGCGCATTGGATTAGTGCGTTGGTGTTCGGATCGGGGGAGCACAGGTTCAAACCCCACTGCAGTCAGCATGTCATTGTGCCCCTGAGACACTTCACCCCAAATTGCTCCTGTGGGGATTGCCCACAGTACTGAGTATGTAAGTCGCTTTGGATAAAAGCGTCTAACAAGTAACATGTCATGTAATGTAATGTAATACACTTATTTAAAAAAAATACTGCAATTGGTTTTTAATGTTGTCCACCTGGATGTGTATTTTTGTAAGTTGTAATTTGTGTAATTTCTATTTTTATCTTTAATATTGTATGCATGTCTCTGAGTCAATATTTTACTCTTTCTGGCTCTTTACTTTCTCTGTAACAATGTACATTTCCCCTCTGTTGGACGAATAATGGTATTCTGATTCTGATTAATAATCCGATAACTATTAAGAACTTCACTATCAGAGCAGTAACGATGATTGACTGTCAGAACAAGCAGAGTGAGGCTCGTACAAACTGCTACAAACTCAACGTACACTTCCAGCAAGAAGATGTATTACATGATGTATATCACAGATTGTATACATGTCTTTTTGCACAGTAACGGATGGTGTCTCTGCATTAGCATTGTTTTAGCTCACAGCAACAGTATTTCATAAATCTTCTTTTTCCAATAAACATAGTGTATGAATTTCATTTTTCATTTTCATTTGTAATGTCATGTTTCAATTTCAATGTATTTGCATTGTTTTTGTGAAGCGCTAAATCATTTGGTAGCACATTAGCCCGGCATCGTTGAGTCTTGTTTTTATGTAGCCTTGTAAGCTACCATATTATTATTATTAGCATCAAAATGAATGTTTACACCTGGTATAAACATTCTAGCTAGTTATTGTGTTTCAGTAGGTCTATGATATGCTGTAAAACATAATAATGTCTTCTGTGGTGTTCATGTATGAAAGTTGGTCAAATATTAGCTTTCCGTATCCTGAGCCTCACAGGCCGCCTACGTTAAAAACACACAAATCCATGCAAATACCAAAACATATTTCCTGAAGACAAATGAGCTTATTCTGTCAATGAAACATATTTTAAATTCTTGGAAGACCTACAATTGTAATGGTTAACAATGAGTGACAACTGCTTCCCTTCCTTTCCTAACCCCCTCTTCCCTGTTCCTCCGCCCTCACACCTGCAGGGGAAGCAGACCGTCTTTGCTAACTTCGACCCAAAGACCCTCCTGCCTGGTTCTCTGGACTTCTGGACCTATGACGGCTCTCTGACCACGCCCCCTCTGTTGGAGAGCGTCAGCTGGATCGTCCTCAAGGAGCCAATCAGTGTCAGCCCCGTACAGGTGCGTACTCACTCTCTACTTACATTAGATTTAAAATGAGTACTTCCTGTTTAATACACATTTCAGAGTTGATAACCTTGATTATGACTTACTGTGAATGTCTGTCCTGTGTGTCCTGTGTAAAAGCCACATAAACAGTGAAACACAATGATTCTGCTCTGATCTGCCAACAAGTGGATATATACTTTTACCCTATATACCTTGATATAACAACTGTATACAAAAAACTGTGAATATAACATCCAGATATTTGGACATGCACAGTGCTGTTTTTAACGTTGTTGGAAAACAAATGCCTACATAGGGTTATAAAACTGCTGCTGTACACTCTCTGTTCTTGGATTGCAGAATAATTATAGCTTGTTGTTTTAATATTCAAATACATGTAATATTGCTAGGAAGGTCATAGGGTGTTTCAGTGCACATATGCACATGTGTGTAAGTACGTGCACAAAATAGCTTTGTGGCAGTTCTTAAATACAGACATTTGTCTTGAAAGTCCACATACTAGATGCAGGTTGGACATGCTGCTTTTCTATTATGTAGTCTGGTGAGGATCCTGCTGAATTATCCAGTAGAAGTTTAAAGTGTTTCACTCAAAATTAGAAAATACAAGGCGTGAGGTGTTAAGCTTCAGGGAGTCTGAAGAAAACCAAAAGAATATCCAATAAATAACTGCCGAATTAACATAACTGGCTATTTCATCATAACCAGTGGCGTAACAAGATTGTGATTGGCCCCGGTGCAAATATTGTGAAATGCTCTCAGGTTTAACACCACTTATGAAATGTAGACTACATTTATTACAGAGTTTATGTCCGGGCCACAGGGGCGGATCTACCGGGGTGGCATGGGGTGGCAACTGCCACCCTAAAAAATAGCCTTGCCACCCCGGCTGCCACCCCAGTTGGCATCTTTGTTTTGAAAGAAAAGTTGTGGCTCATCGGACATATGAGAGAAAATCTCTAATGTCCGAGTGCAATGAATGCAGCACAAGACGCGAGTCTTGTAACCCCACCCCGGCCCTGGCGTGAGCTTGGAAATATGATTGGCGGCGATTTCATTTGAACGGGACGGCGCAAAACGAGAACCATTCGGATCCAAGTGGACGGAAGGAATGAGGTATTTGCGGTCTACAATGACAGAGAAGAGACTGTCAAGTTTGGCTGTACTCAGCATTGAATCAAAACACACTAAAGCTTTAGATCTTAATACGTTTGTGAGGCGTTTTGCTGAACAACATGGTAATCGCCGCATTCAGCTGTTATAGGCATGCCAACTTGATGCTCTGCTCACGGATGACTCGATGAGTATAAAAAACTGTTAAGATTATGACCTTGTATGTGTGTATATATATTTTTTCTTTGTGGGGGTCTGCCCCCAAAAAACAGTTTCAAGTCCTGAGAAAGTCAAATAAGACGGTGTGTAAAACTACACTGCCCAGCCAAAAAAAAGTAACCACTTTGATTTAACTAGGCCAGTAGGTAAGGGCTTTCCACTGGATAATAACTGCAGCGATGTGTATGTTTTAGCTGAATACACGTTTTTTAACCCTAACTGATGCAGTTAGTCACTTCTTTAATGTTTGTTCTTTCTGATGTAAAGTCAAGGTTGTAACTGTTTGCAGTAAAGTCGTGGGGCGCTGAACTGTTCCTTTGAATCTTTTGAATTTTGATACATGCTAATTACTTGTCTTTCAAATTTGAAGGAGGGTGAGCAAGCATCTTGAGGAACATTCATCATTAAATCCTCCAAAAACTATAGTTTATTCAATAATAAATGAATATGTGAATCATAACAGTGATTGACAGCTGATAGGAATAATATGATTGTTAATATTATCATATTCATTCAGACAAACATCAATGAGACAGCTAATTAATGTACTTATTGCAGCAGTCTTCATATATTTGGTACCCCTGCTGGTCTAAGAGTGAAACAAACTCATTCAGTTATTGTTCAGTTAAAATTCATTAAATGATGTCTGCCACCTTATATATTTATATATTTTACTGATGTGCCACAATAATGGCACTTATGTTATTGAGTTAAAATATTAATATTGTAGCTTTCCAAGTTAACATTGATTGATATGACTGCGATTAAATCAGCATATACTTCTGCCAGGGGATGCCACCCCTCAAAATCTCCTGCCACCCTCTTGCCACCCCATGAATATTTGTCTAGATCCGCCCCTGCCGGGCCAACAGACTCACAGATCGTTGGCTACTGAGAGAAATGCAAAATACACTGCATAGTACGACACAAACCTCCGCTGTGGATTTTCAAAACAAAATACAGTAAAACTATGGTCGCAGGCCCAAGTTTAACTCTCTGGGGCCTGCATGGTCTGCCTACAAAACAAAAAATAAAAAAAACGTGTATGCAGCCCCAACAACAGCCTCTGATCATCAATAGACTTCATGCAATGCTTCATCGGATGCATATATTAGATAATAGTCTCTATCTCACTCATAACACATCTAAATCTACTTTCAGCATGGATAAATGTTCATAAAAGACATCCATTGTTTGTTCTACATGTATATGCTTCTTGAAATCCAAAAAAACACATCGTCTTTCTAGAACAGATTACAAATCGCCTGAAAATGGTACAAACAAGTGGCAACATGTTTGACGAAGGTGTTGCGCTGGGCTATATCATGCAATTGAAAGTTAAACTTAAGCTTGCTCCATTGCGGTGATATTCCCGCAATATATATTGATCAGTGGCGAGCCATGAGCTTTATACCTAGGCCCTCTGACCCCCACCAATTCCCTCGAAAAAAAAAAAAAAAAAAAGAGTTATTACGTCACAGCGTATACTTCAGCGGAATATCAAAAAAACGGCCCAGGGTGCAAAACGCATCAATGACAGCGACCCTCTACCACACAAAACAACACCTGTGAACCCAATTTGTGTTCTTTGACATTGAAAATGATATTGCATTGTGTTTGTTACTTTCGTTGCAGTTGTATGTCTTAAGTGTAATTTGGCATGCTTTTATTTTGAAGGCGAGTTCACGCTGTTGACAGGAAGTTGTTGTTGCTATGGAAACAAGAAAAGTTTCACAGCGGGCGGAACTTGTCATAAAGTCCACGATAATAAAACCCACCCATTTAGAGGGAAGATATGATTGGTCAATTGTACTGTCATTTGACATTACTCTCTCGTTCAGTTACTATAGCGGGCCCTCTGTGAATCGCAGAGAGGGCCAGACGAGCTTCTTTCATTTAACCCTTCACATTCAACAGAGACTGAACAGGCAGATTCGAAGGATTTATTTCTTTGGAAATGTTATTTTAAATACAATTAAATCAAGTTTTTTTTCGGTAAAACTAATGAAAAATATAACAAAAATAATATTAAAAAAATATATATTTAAAAAAAAATATATATTTTTAAATGTTTTTAAATATTATTTTTTAGAATATCTTAGGCCCTCACAGAGGGCCTAGAGGGCCCTGACGGCTCGCCACTGCTATTGATATCCCCCCCCCCGTTGACTCTGGCACTGTTATCTTTGGGGTCGCGGGCTGAAAAGTTTGGGAACCCCTGCTCTAGATCCTCTAATTATGTGTTTGTGCAAGGAGCCTGGATGTTGGTTTAAACATTGCCAACGTCAAGAGGGTCAGAAGTCATATCATGCTTTAGAGCAGGGTGTGTCTGAGCCGCCCTGAAGACCTTGTGTTTCACTCAGATTACACTGACAGCCTGTATCTGCAGACTGCACTCTCTACATATTGAACACTGCCAACCTGTACCTTCATGTGACATACCGTAGGCTTTTCCTAAAGGTTTAACACTGTTTGACTACCCTAACAGATAGATGTCAGCTTTAAGAAGTGAGGAATGTTGTTAATGTAGGAATACATATGTTGATACACAAGTACTGTACAGTTTAACGCTTACTTTGTTATGGTGAAGAAGTGCAGCATTGCAGATTGAGCCTGCTGAGGCAGAGAAATCCTCCTAAAGCTCACCAGCTAGCTAAAGGCTAAATGGCTCCCAGAGGAAATGTTGTTTACTGCAGCCTGCTGCTTTAGTTTTTACACACACACACACACACACACACACACACACACACACACACACACACACACACACACACACACACACACACACACACACACACACACACACACACACACACACACACACACACACACACACACACACACACACACACACACACACACACACACACACACACACACACACACACACACACACACACACACACACACAACAGTAAGATAGTGATGGCATCAAGAATAAAGAAAAATATACTGGAGATATTTTGTTAGCGTTTTTGTTAGCGAGAAGTTGGTAGAGTAGCTAATCATTTTACAGTTTTAAAAAAAATGTTCAGGTGTAATAACTTTTCGGAATGACTCTCCCAACAATGAATTAAGGGGGGTGGGGGGTACAATTCACATATGTGTCTTCACTTGGTTAGTGTTTAGATTTACTTTGTTTTGTAGTGAAATAAGCCTGTTTTAATTGTTGGACAATTACCTTATACTTCATAATGCTACAACTGTACATGTATGTGCATGGGACTACTTTCAGGGTCAGCAGGGCGTTTTTTTGCACCACCATGTGCACATGGGAGATAACAGCAGAGCAGCATTAAGGGGTGTGGGGGTGGCTCTATATAACACTTAGATAACAGATATACAGGAAGAAGTGAAGCAGCTGATTGCATTAGATACTGCATTGCTTGTAGTTTAACACGATCCAGGTAATGTGTTCTTCCGCCCTAGGGCATGTGCAGTAATAGCACCTAATGCTCACCTGTTTTCTCCAACGTACATCAAAGTGCACCTTGATTTGGCCAACTGAGGATTCAAGAGCTAATGAGAACGTTTCATCACTCATGTTCCTAGGAAACACATGCTCTGTGTCTGTTTTTTTTTATTAACTGCAGACATCATGACTAGGTTTTAGATAGAGGCGAAACGAAAGAGAGACATGGGAGGTAACTACACAACAATAAGACGAACATGCAGGACTGAGGCGTTCATCCTCAGATAAGGTTAAATAGAGTACGGTCTGCTGTAAGAATGCATACAGTATGTGCGGGAAGTTTTGTAATGCCCACCTAATCAGAGATAGTTGAATTAGAAGGAATACTTTCTTATGGCTCTTCCCCTAAACAACCTTAAACATGTTAATCTTCCAATGAACCAAAACAGAGGTTCCAAAGGCTTAGTTGGTGAAGACAGAGATTCAAACCCCAGTAGAAGCCCTCTCCTGGACCTGTTACTGCAGGTGACAGGTGACGTGGATATTGACCTGTTTTTCCTGGCTCTGCCTGGAGGTGTTGGCGGCTGGCCTGTCTGAAACCAAGAGTTTTTTTGAATCTGTGCAAGTCATGGATTCTTCATAACAAACACCGTTTCAAGCATTGGGTACTTATCAGTGATCCAGTATTAGAAAACCTTATGGAACATGGAGTCATGTGATCATTGGTGTGGTCACTTTGTTAAAGGTCCCATGTCATGGCCATTTCTACTTATCATAATTCCATTGTTGATGTCTACTAGAATAGATTTACATTGTTCAATGTTCCAAACTCACATTGGTTTCTCATACAGCATCTCTGTATAGTATGTGTATTCACTCTCTGTCCTAAACGGCGTGTTGGAGCTCCTGCCCCCCCCTCCCTGTGAGCCCACTGTGCTCTGATTGGTCAGCTCGCCCACTCTGTTCTGATGAGTCCACCACCGTTACAGCGGAACATCAGTGATTATGTGTTACAATGGCGTTAGCAACCAGAAAATGACACCAGTAATGACAAACAGATGAGAATGCTGCGTGGGGTCTGGGTGCCGTGTTGGCGGGACGTTGCGGGGCTCGCTGCTGCGAGGAGCGGACAGTGTGAGCTGGGTTACTGGTGTCGTTTCCTGGTTGCTGCGTGGGGTCTGCGAGACAGCGAGACACCGCGAAACTCAGCCTGAACTCAGCCTGAGCACACACACTCACAGCCTGGCAATGAGTTTGCCAAACGTTAGATTTTTACTTCAGCCGACTGCAGTTGTGCTTCAAAAATCATAAACTAGTGTGGATATGTGGATATTATCCTGCTGAACAGAGTATTTATGTTTCATGGACATGTGTCTGCCATAAGGCCTATTTTCCACTTTACCTCACCACTTTATTGTAGTGGAGCAGTAAAGATTTCAGATGTTCTATTTCCGCTCACAATTAATCATTTTTTGGCTCTTGCCTGGCTGTCCCAGATCGGATGACATTTTCATATAGTTGATTTTTTTTCAAGTGTTGGGCGTTTCTTTTTTTATGTCTCAAAGAAACATTAAAAATAGTAAACAGTGTATACAATCTATATTACACCAACATAGTGTGGTGGGTCCAGGACACAGGTTCATTGATTTAAACACCTGTGTCTCTCCTTCTTCATCAGATGGCCAGGTTCCGCGGCCTCCTCTTCACCGGAGAAGGAGAGGCTCCATGCTGCATGGTGGACAACTACCGCCCCCCCCCAGCCTCTGAAGGGCCGTCAGGTCCGCGCCTCCTTCAAATAAGCTTCATCTTCACTGCTTCCTCCTTCCCTCCTTACACAAACCTTCATTCTCCTATTATATCCACATGCAGTCAGCTTATACTAGCCTTAAGGAAATGAACTTGAAGTAGATCTGCTTAAAGTTTCTATAATATAGACTTACTGGATGTATCTTGAACAAAATAACTGATTTTTGAGCTTTGACACTATGAAGACACAAGACATATTTACGCTTATCATATCAAAAGTCCAGATGATATTTAAGATATTTTTATTTACATTGAGCCACGGATATGCTCCCTAGACAGACCATAGATTTTTTATGGAAATCAAACAGTAAAAGGCTATTTTCACAGAGATCCTCCTGGCATTACTCATTGTGAGTAGTAGGGGTGGATGCATGAAGTGTAAATTGGGTCATACGTTGTGCCCTCATGGAATATTAAATACATATTGTCCCCTTGGTCAGACACTGCCTTAATACAGACAAAGGTGGCCTAATATTTTAAGTCTTTATAGGCTAACAGAGGGACCCGAGATCTCCTGAAATTGTCACAAAGAGAGACAGGATTTCTGGCTCCTAATCTCATAATTAATTATAATTAATTAATATTGATGTGTGCCAATATAATATGCTTTTTCTTTCACTAAATATACTCAAAATAGAAGCCAATATATTCTAAAACTTAATTAATACAATTAAAAAAAAAAAAAATGTATATTATTTTTTGTTAGCAGCATTGCACTGAAGGAAAAAGATATACAGAAGATTGTTGCGGAATACTATAACTATGTAAACCCACACCTAGCCTATCTACGGTGAATGTAGCATAAAGGACATGCTGTGATGTTTGTCAGGTATAACAACAAAGATGTCTCCATGCTTTTTAATACTAAAACTTGTTTTGAAAATGAAAGCATTTATCAATTTTCTGATATATTTAAGTTTAATCTAATATTTTATATTTAAACTTAATTTAATTATTGCTTTCAACTAACCTAATACAGTTATGTGAAATCTGTTGACATAATACATTTAAATAAAATCTACGTTTCAGTTTTTTTTTTCATGTACTAACAGTATGATCATCTCATGATGGTAATACTATGCAAAGCTCCAGTATGTTGTTTGACAAACCTAGAATTGGCCGATGGTACTTGTACGCACTAATGAATGTAAAAGAAAATGGTATCCAATCATTTTGGTTGATGTCTCTCCATTTTGTATTAATACTATGCCAACTGAACTACCACTGTGCATTAAACATTGCTTAATGTAAGAGCTGTTGAGTTGGAACGAATTGAAAGGATTAATTCATGACTATGCATTACAGTGTCAACATAAAATGTGTCATTAAATTCGTATCATCTTTCAGAATGTCTATCTTCATTAATCCTTTAACTTGAATTTAGAGAGACCTGCGCAATGACAATGAGTGTGGCTAGTGGAACCTTTAAAGTGTGTCACCTAAAAACCGCTGTCCCATTACAGATAAAGGAATGTGTTTCAGTCAATCTATCATAATGGAAAAGAATGTTCAATAAAAACGAATAACTTGCAGATATCTCTAGTTGTCCTTCTTTCTCACAACTCCTAGTCACTATAAGCATTCATTTTGAAAACATTCACCAACTTCAAGAAACATCCACAATGTTGACTTAGGGTTTTTCCCACACATAGACTTTACTTGGGCAAGCCGCCTAGGTATATTAACGGCCTCCAAATTATATGTTGCGACCCATTTAGGTTTTTATTTTTTTATTTTTTTATTTATTTTTTTTATCCGTCCGCGACCAGGACGCCATCTGCGATCGATTAACAATGATCGCAATGATCCCTCGCTCTACGCCTCCTGTACCCAGTCCCGGACTCCCAGCTAGACATTTTTGGTTCTGAAAACATTCTGAGAATGTTACCATTCACTGTTCTAGGAATGTTTTCAGCGGGAAGTTTTCTTTTGGTTCCCAGAATGATCTTCTGAAAGGTAGGATAATGTTCTCTAAAAACATTCTTAAAATATTTTGTGATGACCTTCTTCAAATGTTTTTGATAACATTGTTCGAGCATTATGCCCTGCTATTCTTAAAACGTTTTTCAGCAGGACGTTTTATTTTGGTTCCCAGAATGTTCTTCTGAAAGGTAGGATAACGTTCTCTAAAATCATTCTTAAAATGTTTGGTGATAACCTTAAGATGTTTTTTATAACATTGTTAGAACATTATGCCCTACTATTCTTAAAACGTTTTCAGCGGGAATTTAGTTTTTTTTATGTTGCCAGAATGTTATTATTTTAGAGTAGGATAACGTGCTTTATCGTTCCGATTTATCAGAAGTCTTTTCTTTTTTTGAAATGCGACCAGCAGCTAGTACAAGTCACTGTCGGTGTCACATGTACTGGAGGGGACCCAGAATCAGACTCGGAATCAGCTGGTGAAAGTAACATTTGTTTATTAGAAAAGGGGAGCTGGGAGTGGAGGTTGGTTATGGCGGCAGTGGGAAACAGTTGTTCCAGGGTGGGTAGAGAGGCCTGGCTGGTCTTGGGAGTGTGGAAGGCCTTGGATTCCTCCTGGGAGAGACATACAAATGAGTGTGAGGCAAAAGCAGGCAAAGTTGTCAAAGAATATGCTGGTAAAAAGCTAGAGCGGCACGCAACAAACCGTTCACGGCAACAATCCGGCAGGGAATGAGTGCAGGCTGCAGTCTTTCATAGTGTGGCTGATGAGCAGGTTGCAGGTGTGGTTGATTGGACATTGCTCCCAGCCGTGTAGAGCAGACCAGCAGGCAGGGGGGGGAGAGAGAGAGACACACGGTAGAAACAAACACATACAAACACTAACAGGGGTTTCAGGGACGGGCAGTGACAGTCGGTCCGTTCCTCTATATGTCTGTCGGTCTCAAATCTAAAGGGTGCAATAACGATTTTTATCCAATATGCATAAACAGCGGACACTGTTTATACGCAGCCCTCACAAACCACACACGGCCAGATAGCTTATCTAACAGTTAGAACCTAAATACGAGACACAACCTTTATAGTCAGAAAAAAGTGTGATTATTTTCTGATATTTTACACATATGATATTATGAATACTGTGGGCCCACATACTTTAGTGTGATTATAAGTGCATGTGAGTGAATATTGGCATGCAAATTCGTTTTTATACGTCCTATTCATTGTCTCAATGCGCTCATACATCTTAAGAAAGTTATCACCAAAAATGTTAAGAATGTTTTCAGAGAACGTTATCCTACCTTTCAGAAGAACATTCTGGGAAACAAAATAAAACGTCCCGCTGAAAACGTTTTAAGAACAGTAGGGCATAATGTTCTAACAATGTTATCAAAAACATCTTAAGAAGGTTATCACCAAACATTTCAAGAATGTTTTTAAAGAACTTTATCCTACCTTTCAGAAGAACATTCTGGGAACCAAAATAAAACTTCCCGCTGAAAACATTCCTAGAACAATGAATGGTAACATTCTCAGATTCTTTTGAGAACCAAAAAAGTCTAGCTAGGAACTCACACATGCCACCGCAAACATGCAATATCTGTGAAGGAGCCATTTTATGGGTGTTGTTGGTGTAAAAATTGCCATTACAATCTGCTTACAGCTTACTGTATCATGAATTACGTGCTTGTTTTTTTTTGTAAAGGAAAATATGGTGACATCAGATTTTTTAAAACATCCTTTTCAAATAAATGCAACAAGTTTTTTTTTAAAAAGCGCTCTAGAAATAAATCTGACGTTGACCATGACCGTGTTAATATTTGCCATCACAGGAACGTTTTATAAAAAAAGAATAACATCCTGAAAACATTTTCAGAATGTTTCTTGGAGAATGTTCTTCATTTGTTATCATGTAACATTGAGGGAACGTTTTATAAAGAACATCTTTAATGTGTTACCCCAACAACGTCCAAAACACATCCTTAGAATGTTGCAGGCAAAACGTTCCACCTTTGTTAACATATCACATTAAAGGAACGTTTTATAAAAAAAAAATCTGTCATCTCAGGCCTTAATAACATCCTCAAAACATCCTCTGAATGTTGCAGTTAAAACGTTATGTCTTAGTTTACCTTAAACCTTATAGGAACATTATTTGAAATAATAAACATCCTAAAAAGGTTCTTTGAACATCAGATTAAAACGTTTCTTTAAAACATTATTAGAACCTGTAGGTAATGTTAGCCAAAGTTGTGAGAACGTTCCCCGCTAGCTGGGTGGTCACATGATTAGCGCAGTGGAGGCATTCAAAGTGAAGCTCAGTTTGTGGACCACTCAGTTAAGACATGCGAGGCTGACCCACTTCCCAAATCTTGAAAAGGTGTCACAAAACCTCAGAAAAAACTGCTTTTCATCCTGAACAATTCTGCGCCCATTTGAACAAACTGACATCAGAATTTGGTGCTCGATTTGAGGAGCAAGTAGTTGGTTTTGTATCAAACCCTTTCCTCAGCATTGACATTGAACAGCTGTCAGCTAAAATGCAGGAGGTGTTTACATTACCTATGGCCGTTGACATGGAGATCATTGAAATGACATTGACATTGAATTGAAGGCCAGAGCAAGAGATCAGGACTTTTGGTCACTCGTGATTAGAGAGAGGTATCCACTGATTGTGTCATGTGCGCTTAAACTGAAGGCCAGTTTGGCTCCACATACTTATGTGAAATGGCCTTTTCACAAATGAAAATAATAAAATCCAAGTATAGAACTCGTATGACGCACATCTTACGCCACGTTCTCACATGGAGGCGCTTCCCATTCACTTTGACGTCACGCTTTGCAGAACTGCATTGTGGTTCCGTCGCGTCGCTTTGCCTCCGTTGCTCACTTCGAAAGTTGAGAAAAGTTCAACTTTTCAAGCGTCGACGGAAGCGCCAGCCAATCAAATCATATGCCAGTACAAGCACTAGCCAATCAAACTGTGTGCTTGTGTGTCCGGGGCAGGAGATTAATGTGATTGGTTGTTGGTCCACGCCAGACACAAGCTTCAACACGACGCTGCCGTGTGGACGTACCGTTACTGACTGCCTCAGGCTGGCAATCAGTAACTATAGGCCAGATTTCAAAAGGCTTACGGATAATGTGCAGTCACAGCAGTCTCATTAAAGGCAGGCTGATAGAGCAACTTGAGCATTGAAAATATATTGTGCATTGCACAGAGAAACTTAATATGGATTGCATTGAACTTTAGGCTAATATCTGTACATGTGAATATTGGTAGATCTCGGTTTACATTTTGGAATAAAAAGTGATCTTGGGCTTGAAAAGGTTGGTTTCCACTGCTCTAGTGCAACCATTGAGGTTGTTTAGTGCCAATAAGCATATGTTAAAACTAATTTGGTTAATACTTTTTTCATTATCTTTTACACTTTGGTATGATAATATTTTTATTGTGAGATATTGTTTCTTGTATCAAGTATTTCAGCATTGTGTTGTTTCAGTTTCCTTTTTGTGAAGAATTTACTTGGTTTTAGAAAGTTCTAATGAGGGTGGATGGCATGCTTTGGAGTAATAATTATTGCATTTCACATAATACTTTACAGACTTTAATGTAAATATAATCAAATTATCAAGTGAGAGTCATTATAAATCAAATATAAAAGAGTGCTGCCACATTTAGAAGGAAGATGCGAGGTACTGGCAAGAGATGGCCTTATGTAATAATGTTTGGCTGTTGGTTGTTCTCCACCAACACTCTATTTGTTTGAGTCCTCATCATCACAAACCATTAACTGGACGGGCTTTGTTGGA